CTTGAAAAAGACGGGGAATGGTAGTGCAGTCTAARAGTTGGTGGTTATTAATGTGAGATTTCTTGGTTTATAAATGGATGTTTGTTTATATCTTTGTTCCAGGTGTGTATCTTGAATTTCCAGCCTCTTGATCTGCAAAGTGCTATTTGCAGAACCACATTCATAAACAGTTGATCATAAACCTTTCCCTAACCTCTGCCCATGAGTGCTCAATTCCCAAGGGAGGTTTTAAAGGACACACTTCACATCCGTAGCATCTCCTGGCAGAGATACTATATGTCTCTATAAGATCTTCATCGGAATAAAGAAGAGGTCTTGTGTGTTGGGCTCTTGTGTCTCTGCTCCCAAAGCATTTCTCCTCCGACCCACTCTTCTCTCAGGTGGAGAGAGGTATGTGCCAACATGCAAGAGCAAGGCAGTACAAGGAGATGTTGGTTTAATAGGAAGTGAGTACAGTGCTGATTGTAAACAGTTAATGTCTAAGAGGCAGCCCACCCTCTGGGGCTATGAATGAACGTAAAAAGAATCTGTGGGGAAAGATGTTTCTTGGCACCATTATTTGTTCAGGACAATCACTTATTTACATCCTTTCATGCGGCTTCGCTAAGGAGCACGTCCTAATTAAACTTTCTACCTAACAAGTGGCTGCTTTCCCGTCTTTGTAATGCCAGCCTGCATCATGCAAATAATAATAGGATGCACATGATGGGTTCTAATTGAATGAAATAAAGGAAATCATAACTGTTTATTTGCCTTATTTGTTTAATCTTGCTGAAAAGATGAGGAAGAATAGAGGAGATATATACTGAAACAATGAGAAACAGGAAGATGCAGCTTACTGCAGCCTCGAAAATGTTTGCTTTATCTGTACATTCAAAGACTAGCAGATTTGATATAATGGGGTACCATTTGGCCTGGGCAAGAATTGCTATTAGAGTTTACTTTAGCCTGGCTTCGTACAAAGGCATTCTTTACTGCCATCTACAGACACAATACTTGCAAAAATCAAAACCAATGAAAGTAAGAATGCCTGAAGTTGAGATTTGCTGGTGGTTACCTTCCCAAGGCATCGTTTTTTGTTGTGTGTAATTTTGCTCAGCTTTAGTAGCCTGGGCAGGACTTTCCCACATTGGATGTCTACCTCAGGTAAGTATTTTTTGAGTATTTCAGGCAAATGAATCAAATTATTTTCTAAAAAAAGGTCAGGGAAAAATGGTACACCAGGAACTGCTGAGAAAATCTTGCACCACAGAACTGTGGCAGGGAGACTAGAGTTTAGCCAGAATATATTTTCTACCTCCCTTGGCCAAGCTGTGATTTTCTAAAAAACTTAATCCTCTCAGTTGGAGTTTGATGACCAAGGAGCAGTAGAACGAAAGGTTTGTCCAAGGCTGCATGTTTGAGTGCATTGACTTGACTCCTCTGGCCACAAGAACAGTGATGAGAACAGGGAATGGGGGCAAAGCTTGGTTTCTCCTCTCTCTCTTTCTCCTCCTCTTGTCTTTCCTCTTCTCAGGGGAAATCAGGAAGAAAGAGGTGTCATGGTGGATGCAGAGGAGGAAAGAGGCATCATGATGGGATGCAGAAGACAGTAGTAGGACGAAGAAGCCAGTAAAACAGAGCAAGTAACAAAAGCATCAGAGACAAGCATGGGCTCTTGAGATCCGGCATTGAAAGGAGACATGGACTGGCACAGCAAAGCCATTCAGAGCCACCATGTACCAGAGGGACTGGAGCAAGGAGAAGGTTGGAGTAACTGTTGATGGATGGCGCAGAAGGGATGTGAGAGCAGGGAGCTCTGCAATTGCATATACACAGTGTTCCCAAGTGTTTTGCTAAATTTTTCTCTGAAATTTTACAAACATAACCTGTTTTCTTTTTCTAGTGGATGGATTTTTCAAGCTTTCATGTATCTCTAGAGGTAAGTCTTAAAAATGCAGAACTATCAAGAACTTCCACGTGAAAGTTATGAAAGATTGAAGTTCCCCTATTGAAATGATAAATRTTAAGGGGAAAAGTATTCCCTTAGCCATCTCAGCAAGACAAAACAACACTGTATCTCCAGCATACTTCTCTTTCCAGTCTCCACCTCTAGTTATGCTGGAAACCTGTGGCTGACCCAGGATTTTATGCAGAGCTTTATGATTCCAGTCTGTCATTTCTTTCTCTATTTTGTTCTCTCTTTATCTTATAAATGATGAATATACAGGAAAACGTTTCTTTCCCTGAAGTTGCCATCTGTTCTTATAGATTTTCCTGAATCCACAGTCACAATCGGATGTGATTCTAGATCACAACAATAACAAAATATCTAGTCTGAAAGCAGGAGTAGAAATTTACTGAGATCTTCATGAGGAGAATTGGGAACCAAGGGGATTTCTGCTAAACCATTTTTGAAGTTCCACAGCAGAAATAAAGTTGCACAGTGATCGTGCATGCCAATAAGACGTGTATTTACCCATCTCAGTGGTTTGAAAAGCAGCGACTGGCTTTGCTCAATGGCCAGTGCAGCAGGGACAGTGCTTTACAGCAGGCCAAGCTTTGCTTGTGAGTGAAGTTTGGTGCGTTGGCGTTTTAGGACCACAGTCTCTGGACCAGAAAGAGGAAACCTGGATTGTCGGGAACAGCTGATGTGTCTCTGATTAGAGAAGTGCTCCATGGGAAGCAGGGGACGACTAAGGCCTTGGGGACACAGGGACCTGCCCAGGAAACGGCAGCAGGGCTGGCACCCGCCTGGCCCGCCACCCTTCCTCCCCTCCACAGGATGCCATTGTTCTCTGTCCCTGCAGTGCCATTGTTCTCCTCCTGCATTGCTGGGGTTCCCTGCACCTTGGGGCCAGCAGCAAACAAAGCAGGGCCCTGGTGCCAGAGCAAAGCCGGCTGAGAAAATAGCAGTGGGCTCTGAAAAAGGAAAACCCTGAAGCAGAGCTGCCATTTCCTTCGTCAGCAGCCTCTTCCCTCTCCGAAGCAAACACGCTCCTTATTTCCTCTGCTCTCTACAAGTGGTCCCTGCTACCAGTGATCTGGAGAGACACACTGCAGAGTAACGAGGAATGGTAAAATACCAGAAAAGAGGGGTTTTTTTTTTTATTCATAGTAGCATGGATGTACAGTCACATGTACACAATGTGCTTACCGAGCCTGGGAGGTTGCAACATTTCTCTGTGCCATTGCCCAGCATTTTTAAAAGATCTGGAGATGGTGCATTATAGATTGCTATAAAACTACTCTCAAGTGGTTTTGGTTATTCTTATTTTCCCATGTGTAATGCATTATCCCACAGTGAGCTACGCTGTATCTCTTTATAGGATTCCAGTAGCAGTCCGATTGGACCAGGTGATGTTTGGAGCTGAGACATTGTGCTTGGTTGGAACAGAAAATTGCTAYATGGCAGTGGCCAGTTTGAAAATGTCACTTTAATGATATTAATTTTAATCTTCAATAAGTAAAACGTCTTCTGAGGCATCAGCATTAGTCAGTGCCAGGGTGGGTGGAGAAGAGGAAACCTAGCAACTGAGCACACAAGTGGGATTCATATCACCTCACTTGTCCTTCAGCAGCATATAAATCATCCAGGATTTGTATCTGAAATGTGAAATGTGTTATTGCAAGCAGTGACAGCCTATAATTGCTTCAGATACGTGGAAAACTCTTGTGATGCTGAAACATTTTTGCAGCGCAGTCATACATCCAGGAAGGTGACTAAGCTTCCCAGACAGTCGTGGTTTTGAAAGGAATAGCCATGTGCTAGATCTTTTTCCTTTACTTTGCTGTGAAGATGCATGAGGGYGAGTGCTTTTGGGATGGTGCCATGAACTAAGGTGTTTGTGCAAGCCTAGGACTAAGTCTTCCTGAAATTTACTGTTGTCTAGAGCAGCAATTTTTGTGAAATTGTGCTGGTAACTCATGGGTGTTGCTGAAAGACCTGCCTGTTATGTGGATCCTGTTGTGTTCCCAGTTTATCCCCTCTTAGATGCTCTGGAGTTTGGCTTTGGGTCACACTCTGGCCTGGATCTGGGCTCTTAGTTGTTCTTTTGGGAAAATAAAGCTACCAGGTACCATTTCTGGGGGACTGGATTCTGCAATCCAGTTTTCTTTCAGAGTAGAGCCAAATGGGACCTTCTCACTTGCCACCTTCGATAACTGGATCCCAACCATTTTGACTGCCCTTATTCCAAGTCCCTGACTATCGCAGGGCTAATCTGGAGTGTAGGCACACTCCCATTTTGTAGGCAGTGAATTGAGGTGCTGAGAGTGAGCAACTCTTCCAAACTGACTCGCATCTTTTTGGCAGAACAGGGAGCCGGGGAATAACTTGGGTCTCCAGGGTGTTACGCTTTTTCATTGGCCCCTAAAATCTTTTCTTGAAAACTACTTCTGTGTTAACTCCGCTGGTTTTGGTGCTGATCAGCAGCAATGAAGCATACTGAGCTCACCAGAAAATACTTCAAAGGCTCCTGGCTCTGCCTGGCATTTTTGGTATAACCCTTTAATTCCAGCTCATGTCACATGAATTTGGTCTGATCCGAATTCTCTGCTATAGCAGTACATCTTTCAAACAAATAATAATAATGCTGCATGCATGCGAGAGGCAGGTATTCAGAAAAATTTCATCAGGATGTTTCGTCGGGCTGCGAGATAAGCAGAGCTTTGTAAATCTTTTCCAAATCCTTTGTGTAAGTACATTTGGGATGCTTTGGTACATCCATAATAAATATAATTACACTGGCAGTGCAATACCATAAATACACTAACAGTAGAGGCCTTACATAGCTGAAGTGCTTTTCATATGTGACCTAATTAATCTTCATTATCATATGACAGCATCATCTAGCAAATCTCCATTCCCACATTTGTTTGCTCCTGAAATTGCAGTTACACAGGGCCAGGTCTCTAACTGATAGAAAACATCATGTCCCCATGCATTTCTCTGAAGCTTAGGGGTCTGGTCTCAGTTTCTGATCAATGAAAGCACAAGGACAAGGTTTCACTTACCTTTCTCCAGCCTTTAAGACATTGGTGTGGCCTGATCTCTCTGCCAGTGGGATTATCTTCCAGAGAAAGAAGGTTTTGATATAAATACGTATCTTTTGTCAGGCCTGTGTTGTTCTGTAAAGCAGCATAAAGCACATTTTACCCCTCCAGCAGTTTCATTGCATCATCCAGCTTCTACAGAACTGGTAAGTCAAGCTGATTTATATAAATTCTTAATGTAAGTTGTATAGCTTCCAAACAATGAGATAATTACATTCTCCAGGCTGTGTGGCAATTAAAAAAAAAATTTAAAAACAACACAATTTCTTACAAAGCCTACCATTAGTGTCAGAATAGTTTATTGCTTATGTGGCTAGAACATTAAGTCAGAGATTAGTGTTAGAAAAACAGCCCAATTTTAGTAATATTTAATCAGAATCATCTGTGCTTCCCCTATGCTGCATGAGCCCTTGCAGGGAGCTCATTCCCAGTGGGGCCGAGTGCATCTGTTTCCATTCTATGGAGCGGGATCTATGGAGCAAGACCTGTGGAGCACGGCTGGGGACCTGGCCTGGAGCAGGACCATGAAGGAGGCGGTGGTGCTTGTTTGGACCTGTTTTCTTTGCTGTTCTCCGCAGCTGGATGCTCACAGCAGAGCCCTGAGTGTTTTGGGGTAGCAGCTGTGCTGTGTCATGGAGCTTGGGGCACGTGAGTGCCTACGGGCCCAGGGCAATGTGGTCTCTAGTGCCCTAGATGTGTTTTTCCCCATCGTTAAGGAAAGGAACAGGCCTGCTCCCCTTCCTTAAGTGGCTGAGGTGGGAAGGCCTAGTACAAACCTGTCCCTTTTGTGTCTTTCTGCTGTGTCCCTTCCCTAGGCTGTCCAAAAAACATCAAACTCTTCCAGCACAAAGCAGCACAGAAGGGTCACGGAACAGCAGGAGAAGATCCCATTTTGTTTCTTTGGTCATTTTTTTTCCTAGCTCGGTGTTTCAACGTGCACCAAAAAGCAATTTTCTTACCTTTTGAAACTATGCAGTCCAGATTCACATACTAGCTTCAGCACTTAGATTCACATACTAGCTTCAGCACTTTGCTGTTCTTAGACAGAGTGTGGTCATCCTGGTTCCTTCCATGGAAAGGAAAACACCAACCTCACCAGAGAGCAATTTAAACCACTTGAATCCTTTTCTCTAGAACCTCAGCTTTTAGGATATAAATTAAACTGAGCAAAAATAATGTTAACAGCTACCATTTTTCTTATGTTGCTAAACTGAGTGAGCCCGTATGAACCAAGTTGACACGAATGTGGCAAAGCTGGAGAAGTAAATTGTTGAGTACAGACARGGGTGGATGAGGGGTAGTAGCAAATTGTTGAGTACAGACGGGTAGATGAGGGGAAGCAGTTGCAGAACCCAAGGAGTTGGGTGCAGATGAGTTGGAGAGCAGCATTGGCCAACCCTAAAATGATAGATGAGAAAATGATAGATGAGAAAGATGGTCTTTATTTCATAATGTTTGGCAGAGAGCTTTGATTTTATTATTTTATGAGAGCAATAAAACAGAAATGAAATAAACCATGGTTACAAAGAGCCACAAGGATGAGGCTATTTTCTACCACCACTTGTATTAAAGACAACCTTTCCACACAGTGGTTTCTGTGATGCTGCAGTCCTCTCTCCTGGGCTTATAGGGAACATGTTCTCTCCCTGCCTCTTTGCTGCCGTCTTGAAGACACTGTGTTGGCCTGTATGTGCTCAGGAATTATGCTCTGTGCCTGCCTTTTAGGGTGAAGTGTCTGTTCTCAGAGTTATTTTCCAGAGATGAGGGTATCCTGTGACCAATGATAGACACGAGAGCTCGTGTGCAGCCACTTTTCCCCAAGCAGAAGGCATTCCTAGGGGAGCACAATCTCAGGACCATGCAAGTGGGATGCTTGTTCTTGCCACAGTTACAGAAYAGTTTCTCAGAAGTCATAAACCTGAGCAAAACAAAGCACAGCTGCAGTAGAAGTACTTTAAGATGTGTTAGTATGTTATGCTTCCTAGCCACAAGCTGTATTGCAAGAGAAAAAGCCTTGGACTCTGTGCTGGATTTTGTTTAATTGAATTATTTAAATTCCTGCTACTCATCAACAACCTATTTCCTAGCCAAAATCAGTGTTAAGTTTTTAAAATTAATGAGTAAGTCCTGGCATGTTTACAGGAATCGAGGCAAAAACTTCAGGTAGATGCAACCTAATATTGTTCCATTTAGCCTCACACAAATATGATTTATCTGTTTTTCTTGTATTTGTCAAAAAGTCACTAGATCCTAAGGAATGGTTGCTAAGGAATCAAGGCAAAATTTAAAAACATAGGCAATGCAATAGTTAACTTGCTCAGTTATGCAAATTTATTTATTTATTTATTTATTGTCTCTCACCTGTATGGTTTGCATTACTCTCTGCTGCAGGACTTGGACTACAGCAGTGCTGCTTCTCTGAAAGGCCTAAGTTTTTGGCCAAGGCTAAGGCTTCCACAAAATGACTCTAAATTTTTTTTGGTGCTGCCCTGGTCAGGCATCACTTCAAAAAGTCACATTTCCTGAAATGCCATTAAGGGTCACTGGCCCTTCCAGGGAAAAAGGTGTTTATCTTGTTATTAGCCTAGTCACTGGAATTCACAGTATAATTTTAAAATGGTGATTAGGGAAAGTATTTTTTCTAAAGTTCAGATACTTGTCTAGAAATATTTCTGTACATTTATTTTGCATATCTGAAGACAGAGGTGGTCATCATTCTGTACTGCACAACAGCAGGTTATGCTTACTCTTGATTCTGCTTCTTGCACTGAAAATTATCTTTGAGTTTTAGAACTAAGGTATGATTTGAAGTAAGCACAAGGCTAGCAAATCATTATGATCATCATGTGTAGACTTTCTCCTCTTTTTTTTTTTCCAGCTAGACTTCATAGCTCCAGCCTTAGACTTGGATTTTCCATATTTTCCATGCACTGCCAATATGTTTTTCTACTTTCCACTATCCCTTTTATATAATCCCTTGTCACTTTCCTTCCTTACTCTGAAAATCTGATTGTTTTCCTTCCTCACTTCCCCTTCTGTATAAAAGACCCCACAGCGTCCTTCATGCACCCTGCTCCTATAGATTTTGATCACAGATTTGACTAATAGGTTTGTGTGCACAAATACCCCCYAAAATGACCAGAAAATACAGAGTATCTGCCTCATTAAGACATCTCATACCAGAATCCCAGACTTGAAAGCTCAACATGCAGCTGTTTCAGAAATCATTGGCAGCCTTGACATCAAACCCAGTTCAACATAGTGGGCTGTATCCTCATCCTGGAGGTTTGCCAGTTTATACCAATCTCTAGATTATCTCCTGGAAAGCAAGGGGAATCTGCATATCTGTTGGATGTTTTACATTTTTTCCGTTTTTTTTTTCCTGCTATTGGTTATTTCATAGTTTTCTGAAGCCGATGTTGATATAACATAACTTTAACCTTGTTGACAGATGATAAACAGCTATGCAAGATGCAGGGGCAGTACACAGTAAGCTCTTGGCARAGCAAGTGCCATTTGCTGACCTGTAAGATAAGCAGTTCTTCAGCCAAGGATATGAGCTGTAAAAACAATAGGAAAAGTGGTAAAAGGAAAGCAGATCTTGGAGCATTCCCTTCACAGCCTGCTTATTTAACCCTGCAGTGGACATAATCCTGAGTTACAAAAGGATGCACTGCCTCAGCACACAGAGGGAAAATGCTGGTCACAATCACTCTGCTTGTGCAGTCAGCAAATGTTTCCCTTAAATGACCTTTACAAAGGTCAGTCTCTAGAAAGAGGCAGTTGTTTGACCTCCACAGAAAAAGCAGTGGGGCAGTGGGCTATCATGTTTGCTAAGGGTCACCAGTAACTTTTTGCTTCTTCTTTTTTTTTTTTTTTTTTTGGTCAAATGCTCTGGGGGCTTTTTTTTTTTTTTTTTTTTTTTTTTTTTGGGGGGGGGGGGGGGGGGGGGGTTTTTTTTTTTTTTTTTTTTTTTTTTTTTTTTTATGGAGGTGGTGGTTGTGTGGGCTTTTTTTTTTTTTTTTTTTTATGGAGGGAGGGGTTGGGAGGGGCATATTTTTTTTAAGGTATTAGCTATTGGAGATATAAGTTGGTATAAGCTCTTTGGAGGACTTTAATACTCCCATTAGTTATAAGTATTAAATCTCCAGGTTAGCTTCAAACACCAACATGCATACACCACCTGAACTTAAACACTGCCTCATTCCCATGATGTGCTGGCATATCTTGTAAAAAGTGAGGTAACCCCCCCTCCTCCCCCTCACCCCGGCCAAATCCCTAAGAAATGGTAATGTAATATAATATATAATCCTAGAGGAGGAAGATTTCAAAGGGACCTCCCAGGAACAACAGTCCCCTGGTTTCCAGGGTTTGAGATGTCTGCTGCCTGTGCAATCACCTTCCTCTTCTCCTGCACCTCCTRGATATGGGAGACCACCTCTAATCACATTGTATCTGAAAGACTGCTTCAGTGCAATGTGTCTGAAAGACACACGCACTGCAGGTGCAGGTATGTTTTTAACCTGGAGGAAGACAGAACAAGGCATTTATTCCACAACTCATTACTGGTAAATAGAGGTGCATTGATTGGATAGATCCTAAAGCTGAAATACAGAGCCCTTTGGTAATATTTTGTAAAGAATTTTTCAAACAGAATAGCAAAAAGTGCTTTCAGAGTGGAAGCCTGCAGGAAATTTTCAGCTGTGGCAATTCTGGCTTCCATTACGTGCTGCGAAAACATGAATGATCTATTTTGTTCGGGGCTGGCCCATAACGAAATGTGTCAGTTCATAAAACCAACCCAGACCCATAGTGGGTTTTGGGATCCTGGTTTTGTCTGCACAACCATGATGCTCTGTGATGTCCCCATTCTTTCTGACAGCCCGTTTGATAATCTGGTGACCTTGTCCTTGAAGCACTAATGATAACTTATGCCTAGAGGGTCCATAGATCAAGTTTCTGTAAGGAAAATACAGCTGTACTTAAATATTCTTGAGAGTCCTTCTGGGACTGAGGTATAGGGCATCCTGCATCACTGTATTTAAACTCTGCCTCCAAAACAGGTGGCCATTGTGGCACTTTTAAGCATCATCCCACTTTTTTCCCCTTGTTTTCCTCATTATAACATAAAATGCAAGAAACTTATTTTCTTGCATTTTCTTCTTTCTAATAAAAGAAATTTCTTTTTTTCCTCTTTGCTGCTATTTTATGAGCTAATGTATTATTTGCCATTCAAACATGGAGCATACATGACTTGGGGGAAACAGCAGACAGGGTTTAAGGAGAATGGAAAACTCTCTGGTGTGAGTCCAAAAATAACTAATTTTTTAGCTTCCAGCATAAAGCTTACCTCCCTCGTTTTTGTCTTTAATGACTACGTAGGAAACAAATACTGATGGTTAAACGGAATTAATAGCATTTTTAATGACTCTTAACATTCCAGTTGCACAGGAACTGATGCATGCCATGGGTTATACAGAGATTACGATGAACTGTTAGTCTTCAATTCCCTCCTGACACCACAGCCATAGATTACCACTCAGTAGTCAGCTTAGTGACAGTGGTATTTCAAAATCAAAATATCATAATTTTTGGACTTTATGATGGAAGAAAAAAAAACATTCAAAATTTTATGAGAAAGGCAGACACATTTTGTGGAAATATTTTTTTGGTCAAAGCTTCCTTCTTTTTTCAATTAACAAATTATTTTTAGTTATAGCCCAGCTTCAGCCCACCCTACAAGAATGCTCTGTATTGCTTTGTCTTAACTATTTAGAATAAACAGGAACTTTTTCAAACAACTGCTAATCTGAGGAATGTAACTGTACAACCCTTGAGACAAAAGAGATGGAATCACAGTGAACATCACTGGTATGACATTCATTCTAGCTATCAAGTGTTGAAGATGAAAATCATAAAACATCAAATTCAAAGATAAAGGCTATGGGTTTTTTAGAAGAAACAAGATTCACATCTTGAAAATAACAGTATTTTTCAACTCTGACCTGCAAACTGTGGCCAGGCAGGACATCCAGCTGAGGTAGACTGAGGAATTATTGAACTCACTGTGTAATAGCAATGTGATAACGAAGACATCTGGGATCTAGCAGAGACCTCTATAACTTCTCAAGACTCCCATGTAGTGTGGTCAGAAACAGGTCTCTCCAAATTCAATACTCAGCTCGATGGACAGCACATATAATTTTCAGCAGAAACTGGTAGATTTGGGTGCCTGAAGACTAGAAGCTAAAAAGAACGTTTGAAGATCAGTAGAACACAAGAGTAGAAGAGACACTTGCATTGAGATGCTTCTGCAGAGGGGCCCTCCGGCCCTTCATGGTGCTCCCCCAAGTGCACACAGGACTGGGGATGTCCTGTGCCCTGGGAAGGGAAGAGAAGGAAAGGGGGAGAGCTCTATCTACGAGGTGTTGGCAGGCAGGATTTCCCATTGGAAAGGGAACTGGGAAGGAGGCCGGAGCAGCCTCTGGAGCTGCGCAAGGGAGCCCGGCTGGGAGCAGCCAGGGCTGCCCTGGAGGAACATCAATATCCCGCGGGAAGCGGAGGGGCCTCCTGGTGAGAGGTGGAGGGTGCACGGGGAGCCTGGCAGTCCCAGGGCCCAGTGGTGTGCCCCACAGAACAGAAGGTAAATGCGGCGCTTTTGTTCTGCAAAAGCTTGCTAAAAAATTCCCAAAATGAGAGGAAACAAAACAAGAGGGAAAGAGGARGAAACCTGTCCTGGCATTTTCATACACGTTGGTCTGAGGAAAGAGGCTGTGTCCTGCTCCACGCAGCTCCCGCTCGCAGCAGCCCCATCTGGGCTGTGCGTCCCGGCCCTGCGGCTGCTCCAGGCCCCGTCCCCTCCGTGCGGCGGCTGYGGCCCTGGGCAGGGTGCATCCAGGCAGGGAATATTCGGGCTCGGGCGGCACTACCAGCTCACTACTGGTGATTCTGTGGACAGCGGGAGGCGTTGTGCACTGGATACTCACCGGGAAGTGCTCCACAGGGAGCCGCGGGCAGCAGGGAGRGCACACGGGGACACCCCGGAGCCACTGCAGCCTCGGCCTCCACCCCCACAAACAGGACTTTGTTTATCCCACAGACAAACAAGGAACAAGACAACGAGAGCAAGCAGCTCCATGAGAGAAACTCCTTTATCGTATGAGCAAATGAACGAGATAATAGGATCCATCAGGGAAAGGAGTTCCCGTTATTTTACACCTTGCAGCCCCAAGGAGCAGGTCTGCAACCGCCCCTGCGTGTCTCGCACCGGCTCTGGGCTCGGGAGGCTCCAACGCTGCGCGGGGACGCGGCTGCTGCCYGGACGGGGCCCTTCCGGTGGCCTTGGCCCTAGCACCGGGGGGCGGCGGCGGCTGGGCTGGGCTGGGCATGGCAGGGCTGGGCAGGGCAGGGCTGGGCACGGCAGGGCACAGCTGGGCTGGCCTGGGCCGGACCCGCTCGGGGTCGCGTACGGCCCCGCGCTGCTCCTGGCGCCTTTTGCGGCTCCGCTTCTGGCCCTGCCCGCACCCAGCGCCGACCTCCTGTGTGCTGCGGCACCGCCTGGCGGCCGCTCCAGCCCTCCCAACGTGGCTGCTCCGCCCCCCACCCCGCCAGGCCGCGAGCCAGAGCCGCACGGAGACCCGCGGCCGGGGACCCCTGCCCGGCTGCGCCCTCCCCACGGCCGTGTCCGCAGTGGGACGGGGCCAGGAGCAGGGCCGGGACGCCCGGCCCGGACGGGGCTGCCGCTCATGGGCACCGTTCAGGGCAGTACACAGTCCTTTTCCTCAGATCAACACGTATGAAAATGCCAGGCACTTTTACGCCTCTTTTCCGTTTTGTTTTGTTTTTCATTTTTGGAAATTTCTAACAAGCTTTTAGCAAAAAAACGCGCGCGCCGCATTCACCTTCTGTTCTGTGGGGGACACGACTGGGCCCTGGGACTGCCAGGCTCCCCGTGCACCCTCTGCCTCTCACCGGGAGGCCCCTCCGCTTCCCGCGGGATATTGATGTTCCTCCAGGGCAGCCCTGGCTGCTCCCAGCCGGGCTCCCTTGCGCAGCTCCAGGGGCTGCTCCTGCCTYCTTTCCAGTTCCCTTTCCAATGGGAAATCCTGCCTGCCAACACCTAGTAGATAGAGCTCTCCTAATCCTAATGGGGACAGAACCTCTCTAGTCTTCAAATGGCTTCCTCGATTTCCCAAACTGTAACCCTTTCCTGAACCAACCCTGCCCCATCTTTCCAAAGGGAAGCCAGAGGCCAGCTCTCCAGAGGACAGCTAGCCCTGCACAAGCCAGTGCAAGTGGGTAGCCTGTCTAAGTCTGCCTAAGGCTAAGCCTAAGTCTCTCTAAATTTAAGTCTAACTAGTTCTGCATCTGTCCAAGACTAGGCTGGTCTAAGTCTGTCTAAATGGAAGTCTGCCTTACCTGGTTAAGCCTGTATAGGTCTGCCTAAGTTTGTTTAAATCCAAGTCTAACTAGGCCCTTCTAAGTCTAACACTAAGCCTGTCTTAGTCTGTCTAAGGCTAAGCCTGTCTAATCCTAAACAGTCCTAATATGTCTAAGGCTAAGCCTGTTTCAATCTGTCTAAGGCTATGCGTGTCCAAGTTTGTCTATATTTAAGTCTAGTTAAGCCTGTCTAATTCTCTCTAGGCTAAGGCTATCTAAGTCTCTGTCTAAGGCTAAGTCTAACTAAGCCCCTCTAAGACTGTCTAAGGCTAACCAAGTCTAAGTCTGGCTAGGGCTAAGTCTGTCTAAATGCAAGACTAACTAAGCCTGTCTAAATCTAAAGTATAACTAAGCCTGTCTAAGCCTGTTTAAGGCTAATTCTAAGTAAGGCTGTCTAAGGCTAAGCACRTCTAAGTGCTTCTAATTTTTTCTATGTGTAAGTTAAAGTACGCCTGTGTTTTGCCAATGAACAGCAGGAGGCGACAGAACAAACCAGACACCCCTGGAAAGAAAGGTCTTGTTCTACTATTAACATTAAGGTGAGTCAGAATGGTACATTTAGTAAAAATAAAAGCTGACTACACGCTTGATTTTAGCAACAGACAAGATAAGCCAGGCAGGTCACCTAACCGTTCCTGTACAGGAAAGAGAGTAGGGATTAAGAAAAAGCCACAGCTCCAGCTGCCTCAACACGCTACCATCAGGCAGATGCTCTGTCCCTGGGCTGCCACGACGGTGTCTGCTGGTGTTTGTTTGCTCTCTCCAGATCCACCGCTGCGCTTGCAGGATCCCCTCTTGACAAGGACGTGAAGCGACCGCTGCCACAACCTGCACATGGACACGACAGTCAGCAGTGCATCCACATTGAATGAGTCGTTCCTCGTCAGTCCACCCATAGCAGAGAGAGCCCAAGAGCTGGACTAACCATGAAGGAGGGGGGCCTCCAAAGGGCCCCTCGTGCCCAGAACCGGAGTCAGATGCGAAGACTCTGCCTGGAGCGTGGGGCCTTTCCGGCCCTCGCGGCGCTGCCAATGGGCTCCCCCACCTCCCGTGAGGGTCCAGGTGCCCCAACAGCCCCTGCCACCCCCAGCCCAGCCGCCTCCCACCGGCCGCACCGAGGCCTCCGTCCCACCCTGGACTTTTGGGTGCCGAGGAGCAGAGGACCCGTCTCTGCTCCCGGGCTGCACAAACACAGCCCTTGGGCTCCACTCTCCAACCCCGAAACTCAGCCCTTGGGCTCTGCTTTGGAGCCCCAAAACGCAGGGCTTGGTCTCCATTCCCGAGCTCTGCAACTGGGCGCTGGCACCTCTTTGGGAGCACCCCAAACACAGCCCTTCCAGCCTCGCTTTTGGGGCTCACAAACGCAGGGCTCCCCCTCTGGTTCTGACCCTACAGCCCTGCCCCAGGACASGTCTGCAGGTCCCCAACTCCAGCCCTCGGGCACCAGCTGTGGGCGCCAGAGGAGCTGCCCAAGGAGCAGGCGGGGAGGGGCCGGGGACAGCCGGCTGAGAAGGGAGGGGGATCCTGTAACCCGGGCTCTGCAAGAAGGGGCGGCCCGTGTCGG